CTCCGATGGTTGAGTTTAGACAGCACATAACTGGAGAGAGAAGGAGCCATACCTCTACAACCACCTTCTCCCCACCCCCTTCCAGCCAGTCACAAAACAAATACCCCAAATTCCAAACTGCATTTTTATTATTTTTTAATAAACTTTATTCTATATTACAAATAAGTTTTTTTTGTTCTGAACTGCAAAATAGGAATGCCTTATATTTACATACACAGGTATACAATTAATTATAACAAAGGTACAGGAGCTTGCCTTTACCAAGTTACAACTGGGCTCCAATTGAAATAGCATAGGTTTCCTTTTTAAAAACTTTTTTAAAATCTTTTTTTTTTAAATCTTACTAGGATACTCTTCTTTAAAAATCAAAACCAGAAGACCCTCATCCTCTAATAGATTCCACCCACCTATCTTTGAGGCTCATGATAACACTGTTGTCTAGAGATATGTTTTGCTTTGTTCTCAGGCTCAGTGTTCAAGGCGGGAGCTTTATGGAACCAGAAGTTGGGTGGGGCTGGAACGGGGTGCCTGCGGCAGGAGCGACCTGCCCTACCTCCTTCAGCGGCCTCTCTCGGAGACTCAAAGGCTCCGGCCTGTTCCTTAAACCACCCATTCATCCTTTCCTGTTCCTCCTCTTCCCTCTAGTGCTGGAGACTTAACTCTGGGTCATCTGACCAGGCAGACTCCTCTCCCCCCTGCCTGGCTCACTGAGCCATTGTCTGTTGTAGTACCCTGGAGTTCCTGGTCACTATGGCAACCTGGCAGGACCCTGCTGGAAGAGAGAGGCTGGTCCCTATAAGCAAGGTGGGTAGGAGGGCAGCTGCATCCAATCCCTTCTCCCCATCTCAGGTCCTGGGTTCTTGCTATTGGTCAGTGCCGCCGACCCATGACTCAGCCAGGACCTCCGGCCTCGAGGCCACCATGTCCAGACAGGGAGTTTTGGAGGGGAGGGTTGTTCACTCTAAAACGCAAAGTCATTGGTTTCCAAAAGGAAACAAGATTCTTTGAGGTAAACTAGCTTTTCTTTTTAAAGAACGGAAGGTTTGACGAGCCAACAAGCTGACGGGAACATTGGGGAAGGGAAGGAGAACACAGGGGACACGTACCATCCTGGTCACGGGTCTGAACAGGGATCACCAGTCCTGCTTTGTAAAGCGGTCTCGGTTCTTAGTGCCCTTTGCATCGGTCTTAATATACCCTCTGTTCTGAATTCTACAAAATGTGCTTGAGTCGG